AGGAGGAGGAGGAGGGGAGGAGGAGGGGAGGAGAGAGGAGGAGGAGGAGGAGGGGGAGGGGGAGGAGGAGGAGGAGGAGGGGGAAGGAGAGGAGGAGGAGGAGGAGGAGGAGGAGGAGGAGGGAGGAGGGAGGAGGAGGAGGAGGAGGAGGAGGAGGAGGAGGAGGGAGGATGAGCAGGAGGGAGGAGGAGGAGACGGAGGATAAGAGAGTAGGTGGGGGAGAGAGAAGAGGAAAGAGGAAGAACTGATACCATGGAGATGATACCAACAACAACAAAAAACAAACCAACAAGTATCACAAGAAAACTGCATAAACTAAGAAAAACAAACAAATAAATAAAATTAACATAAAAATCAAATACTAGGACCCCGCATCACAGAACAAGTCCACAGGCACCTCAGTCAGTCATCACTTCACACCATCATATCCTCTCTGGCACCGCGACGTCATCACCACGTGGCATTCGGGGGGGGGGGGCGAGTGACACAAACATCCGTGTCGGTTTGTCGGTTTGTTGGTTGGTGGATGGATTGGCTGCCTTGTTCGTTCCTTTCGTCATTTGGCATCGCATGTCTGTGGCGCTTACGATAATCTCTCATACTCATGGCGCCATTACTGCTACAACTGCCATCACTACAACTACAACTACAACCACTACAACTACAACTACAACTATAACCACTACCACTACAACCACTACCCCTACAACTACTACCCCTACAACTACTACCCCTACAACTACTACCCCTACAACTACTACCCCTACAACTACTACCACTACAACTACTACCACTACAACTACTACCACTACAACTACTACCACTACAACTACTACCACTACAACTACTACCACTACAACTACTACCACTACAACTGCTACCACTACAACTACTACCACTACAACTACTACCACTACAACTACTACCACTACAACTGCCACCACAACTACTACTACTACCACTACAACTACTACAATAATAATGATGATAATAATAACTATACTGGTAATATAATGCCAATAACAATAAAATGACAACAACTATAATGACAATAACTATAATGACAACAATAACAACCATAATAACAAGAAAATCAAGATGTAGAAAATAATAATAACCCAAACAATCACGACTATTGGCAACAATACCAGAAACATTTACAACGAAGACGACACACCCACAAAATAAACAAAACAAACAAACAAAAAAACAAGCACCAACCCAAACAAAAACCAAACAAGCACAAGCAGCACCCAAGCAAGCACCGAAGAGGCGGACAATGACCACCGGACAAAAGCTAATCAATGTGCACCCACGAACGGCAAGTGAACGACCCGCCATTGATTTACAAACCGGAAGTTCATGCACCTCAGGGGATGGGCGGGTGGATCTTGAATCTTTAATCGATTCATTCATCTATTTTATTTATTTATTTAATCATTTATTTATTTATCTATTTAATCACATTCATTTATTTAATCATTTATTTATTTAATCATCTATTCGTTTATTCATATATTTAATCATTTATTTATCTATCTATTTAATCATGTATTTATTTATTTATTTATTTCACGTATTCAAGCACCTCATTCACTCAACCTTATCTTCATTTACTCCCTCGCCCCGCCAAGACCAGGAGCTCGCCAGCCCGACCGCCCATCACGAGGCCAGTCGGCGGCCAGACCGAACCGCCGCGTCTGCCTCGCACCAACGCCCTTGGCCGGACGCTCGCTCACGCCGCCGGGAGAGGCAGACGAACCGGGGCCGTCGGAGAGATGACTAGTAACCGAGTGCCAGCGACCCCAGTGCCAGCGAACCGTCGAGCTCTTCGTCATGTTCGTTATTTCCGGATGAAATGATAAGAAATGGTTTTCATCGTCAGCAGCACACCTCCGACGCCTAGATCGTACCTCGCGTTTCAAAACTCACACCTCAGACTTCAAACCTTGTCCCAACTCGAAGGTATATTTAAGCGTTAGGTGTCACTGTGCCTGCAGAGACGAAGGTCACGCTTGACGTACCTAGATCAGGCTACGTGCCTACCTGGATCAGGCTACGTGCCTACCTAGATCGCCCACCCTTGTATAAGATATGTTAGGTCACGCTGCCTATTTACTGCAATTCATGCTTAGGGACTTCGGAAAAAGCAGGTGCCAAACGGCTTACTGCTGCGGAACGACCCTGGCAGGTCATCTCGAGTCACGGTGATGTCTTGGTCTTATCCGATGCAACCAAGCTTCTCTCGACGCCAGGGAAACACACGGCGTCTCGGGAGGAAGTCCAGCGTGACAGTGCCAGAGGGTGCCAGCGGGAAATCTCTGTTCTGCGGCACGTCGTGGCAAAGTTCGGTGACCTTGACCTTTGTGTTGGCTTAGGTGTTACTTTTTTTTCTAGCGACTAGTGAAGGCGATCACCTCGAAGCAAAAACGTTCTCTGTTGCAATGCGCCGCTCGTTCACCATGCGCTCCAAAGTTACCGAAGCAAAAACGCGATTAATTTAGCGACATCAGCTGTGACAACTTGTGACTTTCCCGCAATAACATCAGTAATTTACATAAGAAAAAAAAACAAAAAAAACTTGCGGGACGTCACGTTCGATACGCAGCGAGAAATAAAAACATATATAAACTAGATAAGACCGGAACAAACTGGATCTACAAACCGGATCAACCTACGCAATAAAAGGGAATGCCCCCCCCCCCGCCCCCCAAAGGTCTTAAAACCAAATACGGCAACACAGCCCCCCCCCCCCGCGTGTGGCCGAATCAAGAAAAGGGCGTTTATACCAAACCCATCCTGGGACAACTTCGCACAGGATAACCGACTAAGACTTGCAAATACCTCATTATCAAGCATTTCCTATTCAGTTTATACGGTTTTATCACTCTGAATATCAATCACTGATACAATGACTGATAATTGCCCTGAAGCTGATGCGTAAAACCGCTTCAGGGAAAGACGAAGGCGCACGCAACCATCAGCGAAGGGCTTCCGTTTCTCTGAATAATAAACAATTTCCGAATCTAAGCTGTGACTAGCATATTTATGGCTATCATCATGAAACATCTGCGGGATTCTCAGCTGGGCCTGCATAGATTTATTTATTCATTTATTATTTTTTTTTTTTTTTTTTTTTTTTTTTTTTTTTGTAAGCCGGTCTTAAAAGATGGAAGTTTTTTGGTTTGATAATCAGCGGTATCAAGATTATGCTAATCTACAGTAGGGTTCACGTTTATCAAACTTAAATCACGTTTTTTTAGAATCCCTTAAATGCCTTTCAACAGATATCAAAGGAAATTATCCCTTATCATTGCATCCACAACCAAGTATCATTTATTATTGCCTTCAACGCCAACGCCGTCGCGAGCATGGGAAACCGCGCGTGACTGGGATCGCAAAAGTTAATCAATTAATCAGTTAAACAATCAGAACACGACATTGCCTGTGAAGCCATTTACAAAGACATGGCGCCTATGGGAGTTCATGCGCCCATAACACGGGAATCAGGAAGGTGGTGACAGGAGAGGATGTGGAAAGGTATGAATGAGAACGAATATCTTCACAATACAAGAGATGTTTTTTACAGGTTTCGATTATATCTTCGTCAGAAATACACCGAAACCGGTAAAATACATCTCTTGTATTGTGAAGATATTCGTTCTCATTCATACCTGTTCACATTTGTCCACATGAACACGGTTCACAGGAAAGGGTCGTTAGAACATGAAAGTTATTGCTGTGTGTGTTGGAGGGGCGGGTTGTCCTAAGGGCTGACCTGTGTGTTAATTACAGAGTCCAAGGATTATATAATACGTGATATGTCGATGTGTAGATAAATTATCATCCATGTTATTGCAGATGTGTTCTTGGATCGCTTCTATAACGTTGGAGTGTACAAACAAGTTGTCTCATTGACCCAAATGGTTTCCTTTACGACTTTTCTTAATGAATATTTTTTTTGTTTTTTGTTTTTTTTACCAATGCAGTACTGGTAATATCATCCGTTTTTCTACCGCTTACGATGATACCAATTCGCATCGAAAATAACGCATTTCGCGCCACTATAAGCTTCCTAGTTCGTTTGTTTTTATCTGTTAACTTTATTCCCATTCACAGGAAGGAGAGGAGGAGGGGAGAAGGAAGATAACGTCAAGAGAAAAAAAGTGGGTGAAGGGAAAAAGAAAAAAAGAGGGGATTACATGAAGGAAGGAATAGGGGAGTGGGAGAAGGAGGAAGAGGAGGAAGAGGAGGAAGAGGAGGAGGAGAAAAAGAAGAAGGAGAGAGAAGAAGGAGGAGGAGGAGGATAAGGAGAAAAAGGAGGAGAAAATGGAGGAGGAGAAGGAGAAGACAAAAAGGGGGAGGTCGACGAGGAGGAGGAGGAGGAGGATCAAGACGAGAAAAGGGGAGTTTGGATAAGGAGGAAAGAGAAAGGAAAACGAATAAAGAGTATAAGAGGCGGGGCCGGTACACTAACGCCAAACTCTCCATCTAACTTTTTTTTTTTTATCTTTAGTATAACCATGAGAACCGCGGGAAAGTTAATTAAACGTCAAAAAAAAGAAAACGCACACAATCATGCTGTATCATAAAACAGCAGAATAGAATAAAAGTTAAAAAAATAATAATAATAATCAATACAAAATTGAGATTTTTTGACGATAAAAACTTCTTTTCCCCTCACCACCTTTATCCAAAATCCTCGTCCTCCTTCCCCAAAAATCTCCAACTTTCTTTCTCCTCCTCCCCTCCAACCCTTCTCCTCCCTCTCCCCTCCCTCCAACCCAACCCCCTCTCCTCCCCTCCCTCCAACCATCCCCTCCCCTCCAACCTTCAACCCCTAACCCCCCCCCTGCAGCGATGCTTTCCCCCCCAACCCTCCACCCCTCTTAACCCTCCCTCCCTCCCCTCCTAACCTTCCCTCCAACCCCAACCCTCCCTCCCCTCCCTCCAAACCCCCCAACCCCCACCTCATCCCCTCCCCCCAAACCCATACTCACTTGTAAATCGACGTCTCGAGGAGCGTGTCACTGGAGGCCGTGTCTGACATGCGGATCCCCTGCAGCGACACGTGGACGCTCACCCGCTCCGGCTTGCGTCCCTTCTGCTTGGCGGCGTGGATGATCCTCTTGATGGCCTCCGCGGTGGACGCCTCGCCCTTCGGTTCGTCCACCACCGTCGAGCCCAGGTACTTGCAGTAGAAGGTCACGCCCTCTACCACCGGCTCGCGGATGCTGGCCCACTCCTCCGAGAGCTCTGCGGGGGGGAGAGAGAGAGGGGGGTTAGTTAGGTTTTTGTGGGTTTGCTTCTGTTTTCGGATTTGTTTGCTTCTGACAGTATGCAGCCTTTCCTGTGCACACGCATTTCCGTTTAATGAATTTTCATTGGATTGATAAAACCGGCAGATAAAAGGGTAAAGGCTGGAAATAAAAAATAAAAAAGCTTAAGTTTAAATTTTAAAAAGTCTGTGATACTTCTTGCGTCATCTTATTTTCTAATTTGCTGGCATTTATTTATTCTTTTTCATCTTATTTTTATTTATTTCTTTTAACCTTCCAGGAGAGCTTTGTTTTGTTTTAGAAGAGAAAACGAAGGCTAAGGGGAGATAAGAAGAGCAAAAGAGGAGAGAACGAAGGAGAAGGGGGGATAAGAAGAGCAAAAGAGGAGAGAACGAAGGAGAAGGGGGGATAAGAAGAGTAAAAGAGGAGAGAACGAAGAAGGGGGGATAAGAAGAGTAAGAGGAAAGAAAGAAGGATAGGGGGAGAAAAGAAGAGTTAATCCGCTTCTTGCAACTCTTTCTTCTTTTATTGTCTTATTTACAAAGCAGTTTTTATTGTTGATTTTGAGTTTCAAAACAATTCTGAATACGTCATGTTGGATCTTTGGGCAATCAAATACTTTCGGATTGTCAATCTTCCTCTTTCTACATCTTTGATTTTTGTTTCATTTGGCCCTTAAAAAACTGTTTCTTGTCCTTATGGTGCGTGTGTGCGTGCGTGTGTGTATGTATGTGTGCGTGTGTGTGTATGTATGTGTGCGTGTGTGTGTGTGTATGTGCGTGTGTGTGTATGTATGTGTGCGTGTGTGTGTATGTATGTGTGCGTGTTGTGTGTGTATGTATGTGTGCGTGGTGTGTGTATGTATGTGTGCGTGGTGTGTGTGTGTATGTGTGCGTGTGTGTGTATGTATGTGTGTGTGTATGTATGTATGTGTGCGTGTGTGTGTATGTATGTGTGTGTGTGTGTGTGTGTATGTATGTATGTGTGCGTGTGTGTGTATGTATGTATGTGTGCGTGTGTGTGTATGTATGTGTGTGCGCGTGTGTGTGTGTATGTATGTGTGTGCGTGTTGTGTGTATGTATGTGTATGTTGTGTTGTGTGTGTATGTGTGTGCATGTGTATGTGTATGTATGTATGCATGCATGTGTGTGTATGTATGCATGCTGTGTGTATGTATGTATGCATGCATGTGTGTGTATATGTGTGCGTGCGTGTGTGTGTGTGTGTATGTATGTATGTATGTGTTGTGCGTGTGCGTGTGCGTGTGCGTGTGTGTGTGTGTGTGTGCGCGTGCGTGTGCGTGTGCGTGTGCGTGCGCGTGCGCGTGCGCGTGTGTCTGTGTACTTATCCTATTTTAAATTTCCCTTTTCATACATCTGTATCCATCCATAAAAAAAAAAAATATGAAAGGGATACATTGACACATTACATTTCGTCCATGTAATGATAAATAAATAAATAATAAATGGTCGACGTCACTGCATAAACCACGTGAGAATTATAACGTTCATTACTACTTAGCTTTATAAATATCTTTACATAATACGGATTCAATTACGTACAGATTGTGGTAATTAGAACATTAATTCTAGAATCGTAACAAACACAATTTTATAATTAAAAGAATTATTGTCACATTACATAATTATCACAGCTTTTCCACTGTGTCATCTGGATTATCGCCATTGCGCTATTCCCTTGCACGGTTGGTTACAAAACCCCATTTAATTCCACGCCAAACTCGGTTTCATGTCAATTAAGTCAAAATACAAGGTTTTACTTCGTGTCACTGGCAATGACAGGTGAAGTTGTCTGCTGGCTATTTACCTTTTTTGTTTTTATTTCCCTTTTCCTTTTTTTATTATTTTTTCTTTCGTACGTAATCATAAATACCAACCATCGGGTGACTATTTGAGAAGCGTGCCTGGAACGGTTCCAAGGTTAGAAAAAATTATAAATTCGTCCGTGACATCTCGTAAAAAAATATAAAAAAAGACAAACGGGCAACTCCGGCCCCGCAGATGCCAACGCTCCGCCTCGATTCCCGGGCGACACAAAATCGGCACAAAAACACGCGAGCTGGCAACTCCACCGCCGAACGATGCCCACTCTTCCGAGAAAATGAATCTCCCGCGCTCGGCAGATTCGCAAATAAGTGAAATCGGCCGAGCTAAAATGCAACGATTGCACGTTTAAAGGATGAGTGCAAATGTCCTTTGTGAAATCTCAACTGGGTGGAAAGAGAAGGAGAAAGAAAAATAATACACCCTACTGCAGAGACCCGTAACAGCGGCGGTTTAAAATCCTTTCGAGTTGAATTCGGTTCACGAACGTTACATAACAACCGAGGATACACCTTCCTCGCACTCTCAGCATCAGGACACCTAATGTGACCAGCAGGTACAGGTGTGGCGTGGTCACGAGTGTGAGAATTTCACTGCCATGGTAACTAACCGTACTTGTGTATTAGTTTCTTTTCTGCATTTCATCAGAAAGGAAAGAGAAAGAATGGACATAATCTTTGACCACGAAATATGAGGACGTGTGTGAATAAGCAGCATCAGAATGAGGAAAAGGAGTAACCAAGCATGAGTATGAGTCGTGACTGAGAGCCCCGGTCTGTCCTTGTGTGCGTGTGTGTGAGAGAGAGAAAGAGAAAGAGAGATGGAGAGAGAAAGAGAAAGAGAGAGGAGAGAATGGAGAGAGAAAGAGAAAGAGAGAGAGAGAGAAAGAGAAAGAGAGAGAGAGAAGAGAAAGAGAAAGAGAGAGAGAGAGAAAGGGAGAGAGGGAGAGAGAAAGGGAGGGAAGAGAGAAAGAGAGAAAGAGGAGGGAGAGAGAAAGAGAGAAAGGAGGGAGGGAGAGAGAAAGGGAGAGGGGGAGAGAGAAGAGAAAGGAAGGGAGAGAGAAAGAGAAGAGGGAGGGAGGGAGGGAGAGAGAAAGAGAGAAAGAGAAAAGGGAGGGAGGGAGAGAGAAGAGAGAAAGGGGGAGGGAGGGAGGGAGGGAGAGAGAAAGAGAGAAAGGGAGGGAGGGAGAGAGAGAAAGGGAGGAAGAGAGAGAAAGGGAGGGAGGGAGAGAGGAAAGGAGGGAGGGAGAGAGAGAGAGAGAGAGAGAAGAGAAAAGAGACAGAGGGAGAGAGAAAGAGACAGAGAGAAGAGACAGAGGAGAGAGGAAGAGAGAGGGAGAGAGAAAGAGACAGAGGGAGAGAGAAAGAGACAGAGGGAGAGAGAGAAAGAGACAGAGGGAGAGAGAAAGAGAGAGAGAGAGAAGAGAGAGGGAGAGAGAAAGAGACAGAGGGAGAGAGAAGAGACAGAGGGAGAGAGAAAGAGAGAGAGAGAGAAAGAAAGAGAGGAGAGAAAAAAAGAAAAAAGAAAGAAAGCGAAAGAGAGAGGAGGAGTAAAAATAAGTGAACACTTAAGCTTTTGTCCTTCCCAAGTAGCTGCCGCGTCTTAGCCTTCCCTTTCAGAGGTCGACAGCCTCACCTGGCGGGATTCTCGAACAAGGAAAAAAAAGGACAAACCGGTAACAGAAATTCCTAAAACGAAAACGCAAAACAAGATTTATAAAACCTAACAAAAGCCCAGAATTCACAAAAATGCAACAACAAAACCCGTTAATTTTTTTAAGTCTGTAGTAACAGCACGTGACTCATCCTATTAGTAAACAGAGCACGAATTCCTTTTAAAGAGCAAACAAATGCAAAATAAATACACGACTTCAACAGCTGTTTATTACGTAGACACCTTGAATGACTCATCGCCTGTGAGTAAACAGAGGGAGAGGGAGGGAGGGAGAGTGGGGAGAGAGAGAGAGTGGATATATATATATATATATATATATATATATATATATATATATATATAAGAGAGAGAGAGAGAGAGAGAGAGAGAGAGAGAGAGAGAGAGAGAGAGAGAGAGAGAGAGAGAGAGAGAGAGAGACAGAGACAGACAGACAGACAGACAGAGACAGACAGACAGACAGACAGACAGACAGACACAGAGACAGACAGACAGACAGAGACAGACAGACACAGACAGACACAGACAGACAGACAGAGACAGACCGACAGAGACAGACAGACGGAGAGATGGAGAAACGGAGAAATGAAGAAAGAGAGAGATGGAGAAAGAGAAAGAGAAAGAGAAAGAAAAGAGAAACGAGAGAGAGAGACAGACAGACAGATAGACAGACACAGATAAGAGACATCAAAACTACTTTAATAATCGATCACATCTTTAGAAATCCTTCACGCAGAAAAAAAAAATACCAAACGGAAATTAACGCTCACTATCACACGCCTTCTTGTTTACCGGGTAATTAGTATTAAGTGGTACGGCCTGCTTAATCACCTGCTTAATTGGGCCTCACCTGCTTAATTGGGCCGAGTCGTTAATCCGCCGAAAGTGCCTTCCTGCTAATATGGGTTAATGCAGTCTTGGCTTTAATTATTGAGGATGGGGAGGAGAGAGGGAAGAGAGGGAAGAGAGGGGAAGAGAGGGGAGAGGGGAAGAGAGGGGAGAGAGGGGAAGAGAGGGAAGAGAGGGGAGAGGAGGGGAGAGAGGGGAGAGAGAAGAGAGGGGAAGAGAGGGAGAGAGGAGAGGGGAGAGAGGGGAAGAGAGGGGAGAGGGAAGAGAGGGGAGAGAGGGAGAGAGGGAGAGAGGGAGAGAGGGAAGAGAGGGAGAGAGGGAGAGAGGGAAGAGAGGGAGAGGAAGAGAGGGGAAGAGGGAAGAGAGGGGAGAGAGGGGAGAGGGGGAGAGAGGGAAGAGAGGGAGAGAGGGAAGAGAGGGAGAGAGGGGAGAGAGGGAAGAGAGGGGGAGAGAGGAGAGAGGGGAATGAGAGGAACGATGAGAGGGGGGGGAGGGGAAG